TATAATTGATAATTAACAATAGTAAATTTTAAAAAGAATGGACCGATCCACAAGAAGCGTCCACAAAGCAAGGTTTTACCATAAATTTTGGTCCCCAGCATCCGGCTGCCCATGGTGTACTTCGTATGATTCTAGAATTGAAGGGTGAACAAATTATTCGTGCAGATCCTCATATTGGTCTTTTACATCGTGGAACTGAAAAGCTTATCGAGTATAAGACATATCTTCAAGCCCTTCCTTATTTTGATCGACTAGATTACGTTTCAATGATGACCAATGAACAATGTTATTCATTGGCTGTCGAAAAGTTGTTAAATATTGAAATTCCTGATAGGGCAAAGGTTATTCGGACTATGTTTGGAGAAATTACTAGAATTTTGAATCATATAATGGCTGTTATGTCTCATGCATTGGGTAATTATTGTTCAGTTATTAAACTTTTAATTTCAATTATTCATTTCTTAAAAGTTCTAATTTTATTGCTCAAAAGAATGGATTTGGCTTGAAAGATTCCATTGACATCAATTACGTATAACTATATATAATATACTTTTTCAGATATTGGTGCATTATCCCCTTTCTTATGGATGTTCGAGGAACGTGAAAAGGTTGATGAATTCATACTTTATTTAAACTATTCAATTTATTTTTTAATTATCACGATTTATATAATACAACGAACTGTACATTTGTGTATTGTTATTTCTACAATAGTTAATGGAATTCTATGAGCGTGTTTCCGGTGCTCGTTTACATGCTGCATACGTGCGTCCTGGAGGTGTTTCACAAGATTTACCTTTAGGTTTAATGGAAGACATTTATCAATGGGCCACTCAATTTAGCGCTCGCGTTGATGAAGTCGAAGAGGTACTAACGGGAAATCGTATATGGATAAACCGTACAAAGGACATTGGAATCGTTACCATGCAAAATGCATTGGATTACAGCTTTTCTGGGGTGATGCTACGTGGTTCTGGTGTTAAATGGGATCTGCGTAAAGTTCAACCTTATGATGCATACGATAAAGTTGAATTTGATGTACCAATTGGTACAACTGGTGATTGTTATGATAGGTACCTCTGTCGTGTTGAAGAGATGAGACAAAGTTTAAGGATTATTAATCAATGTTTGAACATAATGCCACCTGGACCCGTGAAAGTTGATGATTGGAAAATAGCTCCACCAAGTAGGGCATCTATGAAAGAGAATATGGAGGCATTAATTCATCATTTTAAATTGTACTCGGAAGGATACTCGGTTCCCCCTGGTGAAACTTACACTGCAATTGAGGCCCCCAAGGGAGAATTTGGCGTGTTTTTGGTGTCCGATGGTGAGTTTCGTTGGTTTCTATAACTCTGCAAAATTAAATTGAAAATTATAATCGTAATTTCGTATATTTTTAGGAACGAATCGTCCATATAGATGTAAGATCCGTGCTCCAGGCTTTGCTCATCTTGCAGGATCGGACTTTATGTCTCGCGGGCATTATATTCCTGATATGGTCACAGGTATTTATAGACAATCTACATCTAATATATATAATATTAATTGGCCAAAGCATAGCAACAGACTCTAAGTTTTTATGCTAAATGATATAAAAGTTATATTTTTGATGCATTTTGATAAAAAAAGGTACCTTTTTTGATGCATCACTATAAATCTTCTAGAAATTTTATCAAAAAATATA